GACCTGGGATTCCTGCCAGCAAGTGACCAGCACAGAAGGCCAGGAAGCTTGAGGATGGCTGTTCTGCAACACCCACCTCTGAGCTGCGTGACAGTGCTCGGCTGTCAGCTCAGCAAAGGCAGAATTGGGGTGTTGTATTTAGCAGTCACCAAAAGGCAAACGAAATTACGATACCCTAAAACCCTGAGAGGTGCCTTGGGACACCTTTGAACAACAGTTAGATGATCTGAAATAAAAAGCGAGGGTCCCGTGAACAGATGGAAGGTCATCTTATGGGAATGGCCAGTATCTGAGACAAGCTAACCTGGTTGAGTGGGGATGGAGGGTACTGGTGTGTTCGGGAATCGTGAAGGATGCAGGTGAAGTCCCTGTGCACACATGGCTGAAGCTCTTGAAGACAGCTGGTCCCACTCTTACAGATTAAGGAAACTGAGACACAGAGAAGAAATGCCATCTGCTCGAGGCACCCACCAGGCTCCAACTGAGCTGAGCTAAGCAAACAGTCCGCATTCTTCCTACACATCACACTGGGGGTTCTCCGTGATTTCAGCAAAATATTAAAAGAAATGAAAGGAACGATGCTTGTGTTACCAAGGAAGCAGATGACCCTCTTTAATAAAATTAAAGCAGAAAAGTCAATGTGTTTGCTTGAGGGCTGAAGAGGGGAGCAAAGTGATAAAGTTGGGGAAAGAGGGGCAAAGGGATACCGTGCTGTTCCTTTCGGGTCCGTAAAGCTGAACGGATTTAAGGTTCTCTTTTTTAATTTTCATTGTTAATATACTCTCTTAATAGGTTCCTTTAATATGCCTTTTTAATAAGCTCTCTTTGTTTAAAAATATGCCCATGATTCTGCAGGTAAAATGTAGGATTTAATCCATTTTAAGCCAGTGAAAAATGAGACTATCATATGTGATCTTTCATTCCATTCATTACTTGACTACACCTCAAAGAGTCAATTAACTGTTTTTTAAGATGACAGAGCTAACCGTGTTTACTCACTGTAAAACAGAAGCTGAGAGACCTTTCTAGTGCCTACAGCCCGCTGCCCCTCCCAAATCTACAGACTGGAAAGGTCTTTTTAAAAATCCAGAAGAAATGATGAAGGACAAAGAAGGACACCTGGGCAAACTCAGCTCCCTGAAGGCCCAGGAGGTCCTGCCTGGTCCCCTCCCCCGGCTGGGTGACAGCTTTGTAGCATCTCTTGCTTAATGTGAAAACTCCCCATGCCATGATTTCCAGTTTGAAAAGTGAGGGAGCCTGCTGCCTTCGACGTGCCTCTTTGAATCATGACATATTTAAAATTCATACCCCAAACTTAACAAGCAGAGAGCTCACACATTTTTATGGCTTCGGTGATGTAATAAGAATGTGAACAGCTCACAAGGTGTGTTTTATTCCTTCTAAGAAGATTAAGAAGCTAGATGATTGCCTTCAGAATGACCTGCTATTTCCTGGACACACTAATTTGCCAGGCCTGTCCTTGTCACTGGGGTGACTCTGATGCCTGTGAACAATCTTTATTGGCTAAGCCCTGCGTCTACACCAAGGAGGCCACGGGCCAGCGAGCAGCACTGGGAAGCTGTTGTCTGAGCGCCATCTAGTGGTTCCTCGGGGTGTGACCACAGGAAGCCAGGCTGGAGGAATCTTTCAAGTTCATTAACTTACTAAGGAGAATGGCTAAAAGACAGAACCAGTTCCTCTGAGGGCATGGTTTTCTTACTTTATCCCCAAGCCAGAACAGAGAGAAACTGGCAGCTTCCACAGGAAAGGAACTGAGCCAGACCTGGAGCAAATTTCACCACAAAAGCCAAGAGAACAGAGCTGCTCAGAGTCCAGTCAGGCCTGGCTTCCTGTGAGCCTGGAGCGCCAAGCCCTGCCGAGAACCCAGCCCTGGGCAGTGTTCATTGACATCCTTTCCCAGCAGACAGGCGGCCTCAAAGCTGACACAGGGGAAGCAGGGTTTGAGAAGAAAACCCCAGGCAGCACTGCCCTTCAGCCAGGCATGGGCTTGGGCAAGACTGGCTGGCGTCTGTCCCCCTGCCAGGGCCACACTTATGCTCCATGCCACAGCCTGGGAGGCCAGCTGGGCACTCTAGTGCCTGTGAGCTGCTGCAGGGGTGAACACTACAGAAATCGTGGCTCCCAGGCTGTTTGAAACTGGATCACACTATGTGTGCATAGGGTGGACATAAGCATCAAATAGCAGGTCACATAAAACCGAGTTTGGGGACCACTTCATATTGCAAGCATGAATGTTATCTGTAACGTAGTCATGAAAGTAGAAATTTGTAATCATTGCCAAAAGTGTATCCAAAATTCCTTTGTCTATTGTTAGGGTTTGAAGCATTTTAGAAAGAAATGAGATCCAGTCCCGGTTCTTTTGGTGGGACTGGGGTTTGAACTCAGGGCTTTATCCTTGCAAAGTAGTCATTGCATGGAGAGAAAGTGTAAGCACAGAAAGGGATGAGCTCTCAGTAGCTCTATGACTGTGTGTGAGTGATGTGAGAAGAGGCCGTGGACCTCACATAAAATCTTCCCAGAAGACGAATGGTAAACAAAGGTCAGGATGGAGCCCAGGAAGGAACCCCACATGTACGGTCAACTGGTTTTTGACAAATGTTCCAAGAACATATGATGAAGGAAGAACGGTCTTTTCAATAAATGTTATGGGAAAACTGGGGAATGACACTGGACCTTTTCTCACACCGTGTAGAAAAGTCTGCTCAGCCTGGTAAGGACCCTTCAAGTGTAAGACCTCAAACTGTGCAACCAATACAAGAAAACACAAGAGAAGTGATGGCAATGTGCAGCTTTTCCCGAGAGCCCAAAGCCCAGTCGCCATCAGTGGACAGTCAAGACGTCCTTCCCAGGTACGACTTCTTCACATGCGATCCTCAAGGGAGCAGAAACAGCGTCCAAATCTTCAGACGTCCGTCAGCATAACTACTGCAGCTGAGGGTGTGGGACCAGAGCACCAAATGACCTCAGCACCCAGATCGAGGTTTCTGATTCCATTCTCCATCAAGAGGAGTCAGAGTCCTTAGAAACACAGCTGTTCTAGGACTGGGGCAGGAAAAGGACACTGAGTAGCATGGGCGTGGAAGACTGATGTGTTCAACAAGTGTTGGGTCACAGGACCTGAGATGAAAGAGGGCCCCCTGGACTCTGTGGCCAGTGCCAGACCAATCTGACCAATAGGATACAACGCAGTGTTGGCTTGTCACCCGAAGTGTAAAGTAGAGCACGTGCACTGTGTGAATGAGAGTAAATGGCTAAGTAAGAAGTAAGGAGGGAAAATGGATTTTCTTGCAAAAGGGTTCCAAATATTCTACTTAGATCCTCGCTGCTCTAAGACGTAGAGTCTAATTCCACACTCTGTGCCCTCAGCAGGGGGTGGGGGGAGATGCTGACTCACATCCCCAGAAGAGACTAGGAAAGAAATCCGTGACTTCACCTGGAGAAGCTCACTGACGCTGCTCCCCAGGGGTGCGGCTTGACATGCCCGGGTGCGCATGGGTGCCAGACACCCTGACTCAACGTGATGCTTTCTCCCAAATGCACACAGCCTCCCTCTACCCATGAAAAAGGGCGTCCCTCACACTGGATAGAAGAATGCTCCACAGGACACGTGGCCAGAATCCCTCAGTCATCAAAGCAAGAGACAGGACAGACTTCTGTCTCAAAGCAGGGGAGAGGGGGAGGTGACAACTAACGTGGCTGGTGTCATGGGTGGGATTCTGGGACAGGACATGGCACTGGTAGAAAACCAGATGCCATCCGGAGCTGAGGTGACAGTAACACACCCACTTTTTTGTGACAACTGCACCATGGAAATGTATGCTATGACAAGGACATTGTCACAGGGGTGTGTGAGCTCCCCACATTGTCCTCACAAGTTTCTGTTTATCTAAGACTATGTGAAATCAAAGGCTGATATTTTAAATGTTAGGAGGAAAACTGGAGATAGTAAAATGATCACTGGTTCTTGGAGGTGGAGGGAGGATTTTCAGACCAATGAGGCGTCTGTGTAGGGCACAGTGACACACGTAGTGGATACATGTTCCTGACCAAAGCCAGTGCTGTGGTGCAGAGGATCTGAGTTTGTCTCCCAAGGACTCACGGTCGGCAGCGTGGTCCTAGGGTGGCTGTGCTGGGGGCGGTGGGACACCTGGTTGGTTCTCTCCAGGGTGAGCAGGTGCACCTTGCCCAGCTTGGCTTCCTGAGTGCACGTATGACCTCTGCTTGCACGCCCTTCCTCCACGGGGTGACATCCACCCTGAGAGCCTCCCCAGAGCCGAGTTGATGTCTACTCTGTCCTTGAACCTCTGTGTGACACCGAATGTCCTTGTAGCACGGGAAGTGGACTGACACCTGGACCACGGACTGTGGGTGATTGTGACACATCAACACAGGATGATCAATTGTGACAAATGCAATACTCCGTCGGGGTTGTTTTGTTTTGCTTTGTTGTTTTTAACCACGGGATCTCCCTATGTGACCCAGGTTGGCCTTGAACTCGTTATCCTCCTGTCTCGGCCTCCTGAATACTAGCATTACAGGTGCACACCACCACGCCTGGCTCCATCAGAATTTTAACTTGGAGTACATGAGTGGGAGCAGGAATGTGAAAGACTTTTTTGTCCCTTCGTCTCAATTTTCCTCTGGTCTTAAACTGCTCTTCAAAAAGTCTGTTTTTACAATATATGTGGTTTAAGAAATTCACAATGATTTAAATTCTTTCCTGCAAACCACAATTGCTAGACAGAAAAGAGTGCTCAAAATGAAAGCTAATTCTGTTTAACTAAACACATGTTGAGTACAGAAAAGTGTCCGTGCCTATGCTGGCAAGGATGCTTCTGGAGTTGCACATGAGAGAAAAAAAAAATCTTCTGCCCCTGGCCAAAACTCACTCTGCTGCTTCAGGACCTGCTCCACTGACCTCTGTGGCATTAAGAATGAGTTTAAACTTCAGAACAGCTATGGTCACCTTAGAAAAATGTAACAAAATGTCATAAAACTGGGATTGTCCCTAATGACCCAGAGCGATAAAATGTTCTTAACGACCCAAGCCTTTTCTGCACTAAAGTAACTATTACACTGAAATCCTTGGGCGGGAGTTTCATGCCAGAGGAATCTCAGCCTCTTTCCAAAAAACACGAAGTTCAAAGAAAAGACTTGTTCACCTCGTTCTCTCTCCATGGCTGTGACAATTGTCCCTTCAGATGAGTGTCTTCCTCCCTTTGGACCTCCTCCCTAATTAGCTAGCACACTAAGAACAAAGTCAGCCACACAGTTTGTTTTCCTCTGCAGAGGCTCTTTACTCCATGTACGAAATCCAAGTAACATTTCTGACGTCCACAAGACACACGCTTCTCAGGAATTGGGATGTGGCAGGTCCGTGTAGGCCGGGTGCCCAGTCCCACAGGGGGTTCTGCACCTCGCCTGGCTCTCTGGACTCTAAGTGCACCGTCCACATGCTGTGAAGGTGCGTGAAAATCCACACTGAAGCAAGCCCGGAGAGGAAGATAGGGTTAGGTAGGATTTGGGTACAGAGAAACCACAAGTTGCTTTTTAAAGTATTATCAGCCTATCGTGAAAGAAAACAGTATAACCAGGTAGCAGACCTCCACAGTGGGGTTCTGGAGCTGCCAGGCCCTGCAGGCACCAGCATCGCCCACCACTGGGCAGTGGCAGCTCCCCACAATACCACATGCTGGACACACTTGGCATTGCTCCCATGTGCCTGTGACTGTGACCATGTGAGCTGTCCCCTCCCCACCTGCTCATTCACCTCATGTCCATGCAAACTGTTCACCCTGCAGAAAATTAGCTCTCCGCTTAGACATAAAATAATAACCACGAATGCAAAACTCAGAAGCCTAGTGTGCCATTGGCTATCTGCCCACACATGACATCGCTCAGGTCCTGGCACTCATTCAGCACAGCACACAGCATTCCTACAACTCCCAGGCTTTTTCTCCCGGAGCTGGAAAACAGCCCTTATTCAGATGCAGAAGTGGACGCAGGGATGAGCTTGGGTTTGGCCTGCTGGGGCAGAGAGGCCTCTGGGATCTTCTCCCCATGCTTGTACACACTGACAGTGACATCAATCTTCTCTCCTCCGTATTTGTTCTTGACGCTCATGCTGTACTTGCCGGAGTCCTCAGAGGTCACCCCCGTGATGGTCATGCTGACGTACTTGGCCTGCTCCACTTTCACCGAGAAGTGCCCGCTCAGCTCAATGTCTCTGTCGTTCTTGAACCAAACCACTTCGGGGTCAGGGTTTCCAAACACCGTGCAGGTCAGGTTCAAGGTCTTCGGAGGGAAAGGTGGACAGAGAAAAAGAGTTAGAAAAAGGCAGGTCCTCTGCTCCCTGAGGGGGGTAGCTGCTCTTAGTCATGCTTAGTGACATTATTCAGTCAACAGCCCTTTGTAGACTCAGGCACCAAAGGGAGCCAGGACAGAGGGGCCAGTGCCACACAGCTCATGAGAAAACTAGTGGAAATAGGTTTGACTGAATTTACTCCCAGGACTAACCCTCGCTGAGTCGGTCAAACAGGTGAAGGTGGGGAAATCCCCCAGTTTGCAGTCCGTTCCTAAATTCCCTATCTATTTAGACATATGGATCCCTCTTATCAATTCCTCTGGCAAATCCAGAGATCGTGTGAAGCAGTAACTGGGGCTCCAAAACGCTTGCTTGACGCCTGCTCAGCACCTGCCTTGGTCCACGATGGAGGGCAAACACCGCCCATATCCCAGTGATGTCATTTATGTGAGGCCCATGATGATTCCTGCCTGGGGCTCTCTGGGCTTCCAATAGCTGCTGAGGAGAAGCCTATACATTTTCCATTTGGACCTAAAAAAATCTCTCGTGTTTTGGTGTCCCTATGACATTGAGTTAGAACCACTGAGCATCCAGGGAAACTCCACTTGGCTATCCATACACCACTGACGGACAAGGAATTAAGTGGTTCCCGTTCTGTATCCCAACATGACCTTGGGAACTGGAGCAGAGACTTTTTCCTTTTGTTTGCTAAAAGTCGGGGCTGTTCACACAAGAAACGGGTGGCTTACACCTTCACACACGTGGGTGTGGGGGTGCAGCCTTCCTCCTTGTTCTTACCTTGCCTTCCATTATGGTCACCACATCAGGTAAGCCACCAATCACCTTGCCACGATCTGTAAGAGGAGGAACTGGGTTGAGCAGCATGGACAGGCCATTCCCGCAGGAGGCCTGCATGGCACCACGTGGCACCGTGTGGAAGCAGGGAGGGGTGTGCACACCCCAGGGAAAGGACATGATAGAAAAGTATAGGTATATCCACTGTGGAGGAAGAGACCAGAGGCCACGGGAATACAGACAAGGGGTAAATTACACTGTAAGGGGATGGGGTGACACTCCAGAAAATACAATGCCAGCCTGCTGGGGGGGAGGAGGCCTCACAGCAGAAAGGAGGCAGGGAAGGCTGCATCCTGACTTGTCAGAAGGATGGGGTGTGGACATTTGGGGAGCAAGATCTCGCATGGTTGGGTGGGGGCAGGAAAGAGAAACAGGCCAGGCAAGGAGTGCGGTCAGGAGCAGGATGCACTCAAACCCGGACAGGAAGGATGCTGACTGTTCTCTGCTGCACAAAGTTAGTCCTGTGAGGTACCCTCCCTCTGCCCATCTAACGTGTACTTACTCTTCTCTGCAAATGCAGCTGCCCTGGAAATGACAGGGAAGAGAGAGGAGAGAATAAAGAGAGAGCACTGAGAAATGGAGCTGACAAAAGTGCCCCACACATTCCAGAGGTAGGCTAACGTGAGAGCAAAGAAAGAAGAAAATATGCTGGCTTCTCAGAATGCAGACCCTCCACCCCCACCCCCCAGGGCCAGAGGGGCCGTATCTATGCAGTCATCCCCCCATCCCTCTGTATCCAAGGGACACAGGCTCCAGGGCTGGCCCCAAAGACACAAAAACACGTCCCTTATATAAGTGACACAGTTTTTGCATGAAACCTGCGCACACCCTCCCACATGCTCTATGTCTTCTCTGGATTACTTGGAATGCCAATACAATGTAACTGCTATGAAAACAGTTGTTACATTGTATTGTTTAGGAAATGAGGACAAGAAAAAAGTCTATAGGTGTCCAGCACAGATGCAATTTTTTTTTTAAGTTCTTAGTCCTGTCTGCCTGGATTTGCAAGTACATAACCTGCAGATTGACTGTGTGTTCTTCCTGAAATCATCCTTGGCCATTTTGAGATGAGAAATGTGTCATCCAGAGGGAAGACGCAAGGAAGACTAATGTGCACCTCGAGGTTGTAGGAGGGGTCATTTTGCACCCAAGTCACCAAATGGTATTGGACACTTCAGGTATTTTTGAACTGAGTTTCTATCTTACTGGTCAACCACCCACTCAATAAAGGTACTAAATAACTTCATAAGGGCCAACAGCTGATCTCAGCTTTGGATACCCCGAGGCTCAGACTTGTTTGAGAATCTCAAACCATTCTTTGAGAA